AGATCAAGAAACTGATAGGCTCCTTGAATGGAAGGCTTATGGCTGTTATTGAAAAGAAGGATAGCTATATTGGTCACTGATTTTTTTTCTTGAAATGTCAGAAATGTTTATTTGTACATTTTGAGTTTTTTGTTTATTATTCAGACAGAAATAAACAGATGGGCAAATTTTCATTTTTCATTGTTGCATAATAATTCTGCACATTAATAGTTCCCCAATAATTGTGTGCACATTTTTTCCTAAGAAAGCCAAAACCTCACTTTTACTTTCTTAAATGTTCAGGTTGAGGTTTATTCATGTCTTAGCCATCCAAATATGCAGCCACAACAGAAACCTCCAGTGACTCTTCTTTTCTTGCACAAAAAATAATTCATAGCACCAAGCTGTTCAGAGCAAAAGGAAATCAGCAACGTGCTCCTCTTCTTAGCAAAGGAGTCAGCCTTTTTGGGGCCAAGAAAAATGACCTCTTTTATAATGCAGGGGTGAAAATTTGAAGAACTTCTCTTTAAGTGGGCTTTCACTATATGGCATGGATTACAATGCCCATGCAACATGCCCACATCTATCTAAAGGTCTCCAGCATGGATGGGTGTCGCTGTCCTAAGTCGGAGACCAGACTTCTCCCAGCAGGGAAACACAAATCGCCACAAAGCAGATTGATAATTGAAGGTTTTGGCAGATGGACCACTCATATGACATAACTCGAATTTTAAATATTAGCAACAAAAATAACAAAAATACAATTTGGATCAGAGGTCTCCAACTCAAAATGGTCACATACTTCATGACAATACTACACCTGAGGGCCCAACCAATGATGTGAGCCAGAATATTTCAGTTCAGGTAAGTTGGTACACCTCTTCCTCCCCAGCCCTCCTCACCCCTGAAAGCCAGCTTCTCTCTCTGTGCCTCTTTGCCAAGGTGTATTGAGACTCTCGGCTCTCAGGTGCTTTTTCTGCAGAACCCAATTTCTCTCTCAGGTTCCTGAAGTGGCACTTGCTCTTTTTCTGGCTCAGGGCTCCTGCTGGAGGAGGGTCTTCTATGAACTAATAACAGAAGAATGTCTGGCTAGTTGGATTGAATTTTCCTTTGGTTAGAAAACTGCCACCACTGGCATTTTCAAAATTGCATGATGTTTGCCTTTCAAGTGATTGTTCTAAAACAGGAGGGATTTCACACCTCTTCTCCCACATAACAAAGCACGTAGCTCAAGTACCTGCACTGATTATAGATACTGAAATGAGCAGGTTAATTGGGACCATACTCACTTGCACAGGCAAATTCCAACCTGGGAGAAAATATCAAGTTAGGAAATTAGGAAAACTTCAGAGGTGTCTCTAGGAGGGTTGTGGGGGGAGCAAATGATGCAGAGAGTTGTGCTATAAACTTTCCCCTTTATGTAACATCTCTCTCTCTCTGTCTCTCTCTCTCTCCCTCCCTCAATTAAATACATAAATTAGAACTTTTATAACTCTGCTGTGATTATTTTGATGAAAGCATCTGATCCTATAGATACCTCTGGAGGCTATCCAAAATATGAATGACTTTCTGCACTCATTAAATGTTAAGGAAAGTTTTTTTTTGGAATAGTGTCCTTTCTTTCCAAGATATTTCCTTCCTTTTTGCCTGTTCCCAAATGCTTATTGTGTGCTAACACCCTCAAAAATATTTTACCCATTGTTCCTGAGAAGTAAGTGGTTTTTCTGGGGTGAGAGGAAGGCAAAGTTTAAGAGGAGGAGGAATACCCCCCCCAAAGAAAGGTCCACTGGTCTCCGCACCAACTTCTGAAGGTTTGCCTGGCAGTGGCAGCCCCCACCCACCCCGGTCCATCAGTCTGGGGTACTTTGGATACCGTGGACTGGGAGCTCAGTCTGGCATCCAGCCCACATGGCTCAAGGGGTCCTTCACCCTGTAGAGGGCTAACAGTGAGCCCACTCAGTTGCTACAGCAACACTAGCAGCAAAGGGAAGCCATCACATGGACCTTTAGGCTTTTAAGACCAAGAAAGCCAAAAACGACCAGTTATTTTAATTCCAGGGACCACTGATTAGTGGGAAAATGCATGTATGTTAATGTGTGTGTTTCTCATTCCCTGCTTTTCCAAACACAATTTCACAATTGCTTAGCACGTACCTGATAAACTGGCTAGGTAACACTCCTGCTCTGACTCATCCAGTGTTCCTGCAGCTGGGACTCTCAGAAGTCCATAATTTGGAAGCAAGTCCCTCTGCTCAATTTGCAGATTTGCCACAGAAGTGCATGCAGACCTGGAGCCCTATCAGATCATGCTCTGGCTTTGGTCTTCACTTGACTTGAACCACCGGATGGCTGGTTTGTCCAGGTAGATCTGGAATAAGTTCCAGCTGAGCTCTTGCTCCCTGTACAGGAACCCCACCCACCCACAATACTATCACATCTGCTTGTGACACCTAATTTGAAAAATTAAGCCAGCTCAACCATTAAAATGCACTTTGAGATATAATTGCTTCATTGTTTCCGTGAACAGCTTTTCATTCAACTTTCAACGATTGTTATATTTTCTACAGATTAATTCTATGCAGGGTGAAATGTTTTATTTTTTTCTAAATTTACTTCTAAACAACCTCACTTGTGGTCCTTGCCCTGATGGTTGGTAAAAGGAAGAAAAACTCATGTCAATTTTCTCCAGACCATGGGAAAATTTATATACCTGAGTCATGTCCAATATTCTGTTTGTTGTAGGGAAGTTGTTAGAATCCCCCAAAATTTTGATTGTTCCTATACTTGTTCCAGGTCTTTTCTATCCTTTTTTCAAACATGGACACCAAAATTGTACATATTCCAGATGCAGACATATTGTAGACTTGTCTAACAGCATTATTGTCTTTGCAGCTTTGTTTTGAATCCCATTCTTAATTTCTCAAAAGCAGAATCCACACAGATGCTACATGCAGACTTGACACTCATAATGAGCCACACTACAAAGTGAGATATTTTTCCTGATGAAACCAACCTGGTTTCATCTGCAACCTTGGCCACCTCACCAGTTGCCCAAATAGAGCCCATTTATGAACATTCAGAAAGCCCCAATGCCAAGACAATTTTTGTAGAATTTTCCTCCCCGAGAAAACACAGACCTTAGCTATGGCTGAATCTGAAAGGCCTCAATTCAAATCCCCATGGACAAACTCAAAGGGAAATCTTTTAAAACATCAATTGTCTTCCATTCAACGACTCAGATTCAAATGGGAGCAAAACTAACCTGGACTGACAGATCCAAGATGAAGAGGTTCCACCAACTGATCCCCATGGTCATGCTCCTTCTTAGCAAACATATGCTAAGAAGCCTCCAGAGGCTTTCTGAGGACCCTGGAATTTGGAGACGTGAGGTGCCTTCTGGGAGGAATCCAACTGCTTTTTAAATTCATGGTAAACCAGGAACATGTAAGATCCATCAAAAATTGCAGACTTCTTCAGTAACCCTATCCAATCCAAACTCATAATTTGTTCACCTCGGTCACATCTAGCCAGCTATACCAATAGCAATTCTATTTTGTGGAGAAGCATATAATTTCATCTTAAATGAATCACAGCAGGGGTTTCCCAAACCTGCTACCATGCGGCATGACACTGGCCTATACACAAAGGGTTTTGCCTTTGCACATCAATTTACGTGTGCTTTGAATGTTCCATGAAAGCTCAGTCTGTAGACAAAAGATGGATTGCACTGCAGATCATACACTGCATTTTAATTTAATACCAATACGTTCTCTGTACGCAACAGCCTCAAAAAGTTTTGAATCATGTTCTACAACTCTGCAGGAGCTGCTCTGGGACTTCGTGCCTCCAAAGGAGCAACTGTATCTTTAAAATTATTTTCTCCTTTGAGCACTTGAGCTGAAGCAAAGGCAGAGGAGAAAGAAACAAATCATTGTTGTTCTAATGATGCATTAGCTGCAACAAAATTGCAATCGAGAGAGCAGATTTGGTAACAGAATGAAGCAAGTATTTGTAGCCTTAGAATTACAATTTAATTTTAGCTCCCCAAATACTAAACACAGCATTATTTGTGAGCAGGTACGGTTTTAAACAGTGTTATACAGTACATAAAGTCACCATTCACATTTGTTGGATACTCATGTAATTTTTGTGATCTGTCTCTTTGTTCCTCCTTAACCCGGCAGCACCCGGAGCCTTTGTGCGTTCATCTCTCTCCCCCGTCCCGGCAAAAGAAGAGCCCCCACCACCACCTCAGCCCACCCTGGGCTCCTCTCCTCCTCTGCAGACAAAGCTCTGCCGAGGCGCAGGGCAGATCTCATGGCAAAGGCCAATTGCGCCCTGAATGGCTTTCCCCTCGCCTAAACGGTCCCAGGCCATCCAAGCAGACAAAGACGCTCCTTCTTTCTCGCTTGCAAAAGGAAACGATGCGCTCCGCTGCATCCTTCCGACGCACAAGGACGCGAGGCAAAGTGAAGCGCAAAAGGCCGGACAGTCCCTTTCCAATAGTAAACCTGCCTGGCTTTAACAAAAGGCCGGCCAGTCGCACCAATGGGGACCCCCACCCCGTTTGGGCAAGTTCTGCATTCTGCTCCAGAAAGCTACAAGTCCTTTGTGGCTGAAGGTTTTCGCCGCACCAGCCACGGACCTCCGACACGAAGCCTGAGCCGGAGTCACCTTCGCCCTCACAAAGGGCCCGTCTCCACCCCACTCACGTCCGGCACTCGGACTCCCCCCCACCTCCCCCCCCAGCCGCCGCTTTGGGTCTTCATGCAAAGCGAAGGTTGCCAGAGAAACCCAAAGCTCCCCGTTTGGCAGGGCTCCGTTCCCGAGCTTGGCTCCCTCAGTCGGCGGGCGGGCCGGCGAGCGAAGGAGGCTTTGGGCGGCGGGCAGGCGGCGGCTGCATCCGGCCAAGCGCTCGCTCCCCGCGCCGGCCCTCCCAGAGCAGCTCCGGGACACAAAGGAGGCGGACGGACATCTTGGAAAGCTGCAGGCGGGCGAAGGGCGCCGAAGGAAGCACTTACGGTTGCCGAAGCCGCTTGGCGGAAAGCGCGCCCGGGGAGGCGGGCATGGAGGGGGCGGCGAAGACAAGGGACGGTCGCCGAAGAGGCAGCCCTGGTCTAGGGACTCAACCGACACAGACCCCCCCCTCTCCTCTCCGAACAGCTGTGGGGGCCATGATGCCTCCCGCACATTGCACGTACATCGCCAGGATGGCTGCGGTACTGCACGGAGTCGGAGCGGGCTGGCCTGCTGCAGGAGGCAGGAAGACGGTCTTCCCCCCTAGAAGGGGAGGGAGCCACACCCCGGCAGGCTCCGAGGAGGAAGGCCTGCGCCGCTCTGCGCCTCCGCCTGGGGAGCTTGGCCCGAACCCATCGCGCCCCCAAAGTCCAGCGCCGCAGGAGCCTTCAGGGGCCCCTCGGGTGACCCCTCGGCCACAGCAGCGGCCATCTGCAGTGCCTGCTCTGGGAGCCTCGTTCTGAGCCATCGACCTCACTCGCCTGCCAGCCCCCCACCACCACCACCAGGGGGGAGCCAACATCAGGCACCACTGCCTCCCACTTTTGACCTTCACTTTCTGGTGCAACTTGGAAGCCCTTGAGCTGTGGAATTGCTCCACCCAGACACCTTCCCAGTCAAGCCTCCAATCACATTCCCAGGGCTGAGAAGTAAGTCGTGGGTCTGAGGACTCCACAAAAGAACCCAAGCGAGGTCTAACGCAGGCAAAGTAGGCGTTCTATCTGGTTACAACCCAAAGTTTTTTCCGGGCAGGGATATGTCAAACTTACCCATCCAATAATTGCATGTGACTAGATACATATTTCAAAACTCTAGTTGACTGCTACAAAATGAAGCCACCTTTCACCATTTGGTAGATGAAAAGTGCTTTTAACATCTGGGACACATTTTGGCACAGAAGATATACACACTTTGGCTAGTACTATCACACCCATATCTGAGAATTCCCAGTCACCAACAGAAAAAATGCTGCTCTTTGATCACCATATCAATGACAACCTCCTCAAAATTAAAATGGCAGACAGAGTGCCCATTTATGTGCCCTTGAGAAATGCCCAGATATTTGGCTCTGGGGGTTTGGGGTTAAAGGGGAATCAAGTCCATGGGCTTGGGATCACGCTCTTGCATCCCGGGAGCAATGCTGGAAGACTCAGGCTTACGGCTCTTCCCTTTCAGGTTAAAACTCCCAATTCTGCAAAACTCCCAATTCTGCAGGGAGGGGTTCCTGATGTGCCTAGCTGACAACTTTGTCACCCTAAAGGTGGAAGTAGAAACTAAAGGGCAGCCATGCTGGACTTAATTCTTACCAATAGGGGCAAAATGTTTGAGGGAGTAGAAGTTAGAGGCACTTCGGAGGAGGAGAGCGACTATGTCATATTGAATTCATTAGAGGTTCAGTTAAATGGACCAAGACTAGTGTTTCTTCAACAAGCTAAGAGAGGATTCCATGGATATAAATTCTAACAGTTCAACATGCTTGGAACTCTGAAAAATGAGATAATGAAGGCCCAAGCAAAACCAATACCATAAAGGAAAAAAAACCCACATGAGACCAGCATGGTTGCACAAAGAGCTCTCCGATAAATTATGGGATGATGAGATCAAATATGAAAAATGGAAAGCAGGATACATAACTAAAACAGAATACTAACAAATAGCCTGAATCTGCAAGGAGAGAGTCAGGAAAACTAAACTGAGGAAACAGTGTCCACTAATGGCAGCAGATGGCAAGAAGGTGACAAGCAGCAGAAATAAATCAGAACTGCTTAATTCCTTCTTTGCAACTGTTTATAGGCAAAGGAAAGAAATACCTCAACCTATCAAAAAAGCACTGAGGGAGGTAAAACAGGTATGCAAGTCAATAGAATAGAATACTTTATTGGCCAAGTGTGACTGAACACACAAGGAATTTGTCTTGGTGTAAATACTCTCAGTATACATACAAAATAGGCAAGGAATTAATAAGAGAATACCTACCCACCCTGGATGAGTAGAAATCATCTGGACCGGATGGTTAACATCCCAGCGTTCTGAAGGAGCTGCACATGTTATCTCAGAGCCACTGAATGCAATCTTTCAAAGCTCTTATGACACAGGGGAACTACCAGAGAACTGGAAAAGAGCTAATGTGTTTTCAATCTACAAAAAGGAGAAAGATGAATCCAGGAAATTATAGGCCAGTCAGCTTGACATCAATACCAGGGAAAATCCTGGAAAGGTTAATCAAGAGGAGGATTTGTGAGCACCTACAAACAAAGTGATTACTAGAAGCTGCCATGGGTTTGTTAAACAGATCGTGCCTGGTAAATTTTATTACCTTCTTTGATAAAGTGACTAAATTAGTGGACCAGCAAAATGCTGGGGACATAACATACTTGGACTTCAGCATTTGATAAAGTACACCACAGCCTACTTCATGGTGAGGTAGAACAATGTGGGATGGCCAGTACCATCACCAGATGGATTTGCAATTGGCTGATCGATTGCCCCCAGCACATTGGCTTCAAAGGAGCTAAATCTACCTGGAGGGAAGCATGCAGTCTGGTACCCTAAGGTTCTTTCTTTCGCCCAGTACTTCAACATCTTCATCTAGAAGGATCTAGACAAGAAATCAAAGGGGAACTCATCAAATTTGCAGATGACAACATGCAGGAGGGAATAGCTAATACTTTAGGAGATAGGCTCAAGAACCAGAAGGATCTTGACAGACTTGAGCATTGGACCCGATCCAACAAGATGCAGTTCAGAAGTGGGAAAATGAAGGATCTGCACTTGGGGAGGAAAAAACCTGCACAGGTACAGAATAGGTAGTACCTGGCTCAATGGTAATAACTGTGAGAGAGATCTAGGTATGGACCATCACTTATGAACAAGCAATGTTCTGCAGCTGCCAAAAAGGCCAATACAGTCCTAGTCTGCATCAACGGAGGGATAACATCAAGATCACGAGAAAAATGATAATGCCACTTTTTACTGCAATAGTGAGGCAACACTTGGAATAGTGCAGTTCTGGTCACCACGATACAAAAAAGATCTTGAGATCCCAAAAAGTGTGCAGAGAAGAGCAACAAAGATGATAGTCTGGAGGTTAAATCGTATTTCTTGGTAACTTGACTAGTCAAACCACTTAGTGCAGGATTTTCTGTTTCAGTGTTCAATATACAATATTGTCCTATGTGGAAGCAATTCATGTAGTGAAATAGGCTACTCTTTTATGGCAGACCCATTAAATCAAGTATCTTTCCTCCATGTACCCCAGAATTTGTTTCAAGCACAAAACAACTTATAGCAAATGACACTCTGTTATACAAATATTTGATTTGCATAATCTGCAAGCAAGTTGAATAACATACAACTAAGGCAACCTGGATTTTTGCAACTTCAATATAAATTCCCTAATCTCCCAGAATAAATAAATTTATCAGTACAGTACAATTTATTCAGCACAAAGTTTGACTGCATAAACAATCAAAAACAAAAGTAAAACCAAGGCATTTCCACAGAACTTGAAGTAGGAAACTTTGCAGGGTCTAATTCAGTCCCTCTGAAGTATTCCAGCAGAAAATCACTTTCCAGCTTTCCTCAGTGCTGAAAAAAAGAATCCAAAGCAGTCCAAAATGCAAAATATTCTAGAGAAGTCCAACACATTATGTTCCGCTGGTCCACCATATTTGAGACAATGTAGGGGTATGCCAACAGTTTCCTAGAACTTATTCCTCCGGACTAGAAACAGTTCCTACTGTTCTGGCAGCTGGAAAAAAATTATTTCCCCCCCAAAATTCTTCAGGATATATATTTTCCAATAAGTTAGATTTTATATGAAGTAGGGTAGTTGTCCAAATGAGAAGTACTCTAATTAATTTGGAGGCCTATGGAAGCCACAGAACAATCCCAATCCCTTGCTTTTTTTAATAGAGGCCTTGATTTACGACTACAATTGAGACAGGAAAATTTGTCCATAAGCCATGCAGTTGTTAAGTGAGGCATCACATGGCTGCACCTGATCTTACAGCCTTTTTTGCCACAGTCATTAAGTGAATCACTGTGGACATTAAGTGAGGCATTGTGTGACTGTGACTTGCAACCTTCCCTGCCAACTTCTCCATTGACTGGCTGGGAAGGCCATAATTAGTGCCCATGGGACTGCAAGAGGCTGCAAATGTTGTGAATGCAACCTGGCAGTCAAGCACCATGTTAGGATCATTTCCTGGAATGCTGGGATGGTCCCAAGAATGAGGATTGGCCATAAATCACTTTTTTCAGCACCATCAGAATGGTTCTAAATGAATTGTCAAAATCCAAGGGTTACCTGTATCTTCTCCAGGAATGAAATTAAGCATTCAAAAATATAATATAAATGCTGTTAATATGATTAACAGCACAAACAACCCAGTAACTGGTAAAAGAGTTGTGCTAATGAGAAATAATTATTGGGTAGAAGAAAGGCAAACTTTCAAGCTGACATCTCAGAAATGACCATGCGCACAATCCTAGCCTATTGCTGCTGAATGAATACGATGCTGTGCCATTCCTTTTCAGAGGACTTGAAGAACTTCCTAAGGTGTCATCAAGAAGGGTTTCAGAAAGCAGCATGCTTCTGTGCTAGAACAAGAGGCAAGTTGATACAAGCCCAGGAACAGCTTCAAGCAACCAGCTCTGGCTTTCGGCAAATCCAATCTCTCTGCCCCTTTGCAATTTCCAAGAAACTTGGAGTGATTCACCCACAACCCAATGTAGTCCATTGACTCCAGACCCCTTAGACTCTGTCTGAAATAGGAGCTGAACGGAGGACATGCACATGATCACCTCTAGCCTTCAAAGTAACCTCGCCTGCCGATAGTGGGGTGGAGGTGGGTTGGGAATGTCATGTTCCATCAAGAGCCACTGCAGGCGCTACTGAAAGGGGGAGATTCACTTACGTAAGATGGGAGGGGTAAAAATTTATAAATAAATAAAAATATATTCCCAAAGGCAACTTGGAAAACTTTTTAAATTCCCATTTTAAAGGTTCAGATTAAGTTACAATAAAGCAGCAGCTAAAAATACCTAGCATTCAAAATGAAGTTGGAATTCAGTTCCACGGGGCACTTCAGAAGATGCAGGACAAATGCAACAGCTGTTGGTAATTGTCTAAAGCAGCAATATCTATTTCTAGGATTCTAGAA